CATGGGAAGGACCTGTGGTAGAAATTAAGGTTCCAATTTTAATAGTTGTCTTATGAGGCTTACACATCTTTTTTGTGTGAATAAAACTGGTAGTTAAAATTGGGAAAGGCCCGTGGCAGAAGTTTAAAGTGCCTGTTTTAATGCAGTTCGTTTGTGGGGCTTACGAGTAAAACTGGTAGTTGAAAGACAACTAAATTAGCAAATCTTCTTTAGGAATGGTGCCGTGGACCTCTCTGGGGCTCTTTCTGGCATATCATAGACAGGTAAGAACTGATGGAAGGCGGGAGGGTGTTAAAAAACCCTGTTAAAGCCCATGATGGTATGAGAGTAGTGGACAGAAGGGATTTCTGAAAAACACTGTTCTGAGGCTTTAATGCTAGTAGAGGAAAGGGAAGGTGCTGTGAAGAGGGAGTCTCATTGTGGACATCTTTGTTTTTTTCCAGTTTTGGGGCAAAGACGGATGAAGGATGAGGTAAGTACTGAAATGTGCAGTGAGGAAATTTCGAAAGGACAGTGCCGCAATGATGACACTATATTTGCTACTCTTGACAGTGGGATGACGATAACCATAAACCACCGTAATTGTAACTGAGGCATACGGGATGACTTTGGATGGTTTCTTACAGAATAAACAGAATTTACATTTAGCTTTTATTTTTTTCAGGATTTATGGAAGAACCTGGATTAACCATGGGTAAGAAACATTTTGGTGTATATATGTCCCATTGGAAAGAGTGATACCTGTTACCCAAAGGAAAGATTGGCAGATAAGCAACAATTGGGGGTCCCTAAGCCAACAATCTGATGTAGACAGAAACCCATGCATCTAATGCTTTGAAGATGGAACCAGGGAGATGTAAGGCCAAGTAGGTCGTTGGCTGTGGTTTGAAGAGGGTCTATGGATTTGTGAGAACTAGTTCTCTCTGTCTTTATCCAATGCCATAATGGTGTATGGTAGGCCTGATGTATGCTCTGGGTCTCAACCTTACAGAGTGCTCAGTCAGCCCATGTAGGGTAGATAGAGGTTATCACTACTGGGTTATAGGAAATGCTGTTAAAATCAGGGTCTTGACAGGTGTTGGCACACTAATCTCTGGGATGCAGACCTGAGTTCAGGCCAGTCTAGTTGAGTTCCAGCATAGTCAGATCTATAGAGGAACCCTGTCTCTAAAATGGTAGTTGTTATTCTTTTGTTTAAAAAGAAGAAAAGAGAAATATTGAGACAG